TTAGCATGCTCAAGCTACTATTTCTTTGTCAATAATAACATATTTTATCCATCTCTCACAAAATTAACTTCTACCCCAACAAATCTACCATGCTCATCAGTCAATACCAGTTCTGGTTTTAGCTGGGGGTTTATGTACAAAACAACCCCATTTTTTTTTTAGTTCCTGCAGAAATAAATTCTTCCCCCACATTTTTATAAATCAAATATTTTATGTCCTTTTTTCTAATATGTGTCTCTTGTAGGCAAATTATATCTTGTTTTAATTTTTTCAGATAATGAATTTTTTTTCTCTTTTGATGAGCATTTGCTCCATTCCATGTTAAGCATTTGTAATCCATAATCAAAGTTCCTGCTGAAATAAATTCTTCCCCCACATTTTTATAAATCAAATATTTTATGTCCTTTTTTCTAATATGTGTCTCTTGTAGGCAAATTATATCTTGTTTTAATTTTTTCAGATAATGATTTTTTTTTCTCTTTTGAGGAGCATTTGCTCCATTCCATGTTAAGCATTTGTAATCCATAATCAAGCCAAAAATTGAGAAAAGTCAATACTATAGCACCTAATTCAATACCATTCCTTTCAGCTTCCTCTTGCACCTGTTGAGGTTTTTGTATAATGTCATCTGACACCTCCATTTGAGCCTCCTCCAATTCTTTAAATTTTTCTAGAAATTCTCTAGCTTTCTGGACAGAATTCAGTCCAAACCTCTGCTGTTTAAAAGTAAAAATCACACCTTCCAATTTGTCCCATCAAAATTGAATCTTTTTCCTTTTTAGTCCATCAGGAAAAAAAAAAAGTACTCTTTTCTCTTATGCAAAATTCTCATAGGAATTTCTTTAAGGATAATTACATCTGTATTATCAATCTTCTGTCTTGTATTAAAATGCTGCTGCAAAACTTGATCTCTTGTCTTCTTCCTGACAAAGTGCAGCAAGACATCCCTTGAAACATTTCTTATTCTTGCAAATCTTGTATTTGTTCTATATACTTTGTCAATTTCTGCCTTGTATCCTTCTCATTCCATTCCAAAAATTTGCTAAAGCTTTAATAACCTTTTCTCTAGTATCCTCACCAGAATCTTCTGGAATTCCTCTCAGACAAAATTCCTTCTCTCAGTTCCAGGAGTGCCAAATTACCTCTTTCCAGCTTTCTGTTTGTAACTTCTGTCTCGCTGTCCAGAATTTCCACTTTGTCATTAATTTGTTTTACATCTCCAGACACTTGTTTTACAGAACTGTCCATCTTCTTGACTTCTTCTTTAATCTTTTCTTTCATCTTTACAAGTCTTTCATCCATTCTTTATTCAAAAACTGTCATTTTAGTATCCAGTGATTTAGTCAGTTTAGTATCAAGTGATTCAGCTAAGTTATTGCCCATTTGCCCAACATTTTCTGAACTAAACCTGGTGTAATTCCTCTCTCTGCAGGCTGCTCTAGTGATGCTCTCCTTCCCTCTGCTGTTTTTGCTGCTTTTCTAGTGGTCGCCATTGTAATATTGTAATCCAAAATGCCATTTTTGTCTCAAATGGCACTCCCTAGTTACAGTCAGCATCACTGTCTGGCTCATATTACCGTTATCTTTTGTTTTGTAAAATCCACCAATTGTCTGCACTCTTTCATAGTAAACAACAAACATTCCTACAAAGATCCAGTCAGTTTGCCTATTTTAATTCCAATTTATTCAAAAGCACTTTCACCAAAAATAACCTTTCAAAATAACTCTCCCCTTTATCCATTTTAAACTTTCTTACATCCAATCCTTGTTAGGTTTCTGCCAAACGTTTTTAAATCTTTGAAACCCTTTTCCCCTTTTTAATCCAGAAAGAATGTTGACTCACCAAGTGGATTTTTCTTATCCTGCCTCAGAATATCTCTCTTTAGCTGTAAATTGATTATGCACAAAATTAAGAATGAGGCTTTTGCGAATCTTGTGTCCATTATAGTCTGCTTTATGGTTGTGATCTTGATTGAAATCCCTTGGCTCCCAGCCACTCAACCCACAAGTCGATCACAAAAGCCTGAGTTCCAGCAGTCTCCTCATGAGGAGCAGCTGTCTGGAGTGTAAGTGGGCGGTCCCATTTTCCTTCCTTGTCCAGAAAGACTGTGTTGGCCAGAATTCACCATTTGGCTGCTGATCTCCACTGCAATGCCATCCCTGCTCCTTCAGAGATGCTTAGTCTGCCATAGATTCTCACTCGGAAGCCACTGCTAATTTTTCTCAGTCAGAAGTAGAACTTCACAAGATTTCATTGCTAGCCCACACAATGTAGTTCAAATTTTGGTGATTGCTATCTTAGATTTGTTTGCTGATTTCCACATTTTCACTCGGAAATCCTGTTTTCTAAAGGCCAGACTAAATGACAAATTCTGAGTTTTGATATTGGTAGGTCTAACAGATGTTGAAGTTTGATCTGAGCTTTATTCAAATGTTATCTTAACCTCTCCTGAATATGCAACACTCCTGTGACATGGCTAGTCTGCACTTGTAAGTATTCCGATCCACAATGTTGGTGAAATGGGATTTGCTGTTTGGTAAGGCTTGCATGTGGGAGAACTCATCTGACCCTTCCTCTCTCTTTTTAGGAGCAGATTGGCTGGCGTAATGTGACAAGTCTGCTGGTTTTCACTTCAGATGGCACCTACCACACTGCAGGGGATGGAAAACTGGGAGGGATCTATATGCCTAATGACGGGCGCTGCCATCTGGATGCCAGTGGTGTATACAGCAAAAGTCATCTTTATGTAAGTTCCTTTCTCATCTTCTTGAAAAGATACTGAGATTACTTAGAAGACAAGTGGAAGTGCAATCTCTACAACACTGAAACCTGGGACTCTCAGGGGTACAAGCTGAAGAATTAAATTTTTCAGTAGCACGGTCTTCTCCAACCTGGTGTCTTCCAGATACATTGGATTTCAACTCTGGTTGAAAAAAGAATTCTGGGAGTTGAAGTCTCATGCATCCGAAGAACATCAGATTGCAGAAGGATATATTGAAGTAGAATCCAAATCCTCTGTACTGATCCAGCTGGAATTTGGAGAGAAAAAGTATTGCAAAATCTCCCAGCCCCTATGGGGAAATGGTGAGGAAGTGCTTCCACTTGCAGCTCATAGTGGGAATGCTTTGGGCTGTAAAGTCAATGGGGAAGGAAGAACAGGGAGAAAGGTCAATGTGTGGGCCATTGGGTACTTTGGATTGTCTACCATGCCTACCTCTGGGGTTACTGAACCCATCAAGTATGTTTTCCTCATAGCAATGCCTAGTTGCTAGCTGAGGAAAAGGGGAGTGAATATTTGTTGTGCTTTCCAATGTTATGAACAATAACATTGGATGTAAGATTGTTTGCTAAAATAGTATGTAACCAAGTGTCCACTGACAACTCCCATTAGCCTTGATCAACATAGTAAAAAATAAGAGGCTATGTATCAGCTCCCCTCAGGTAAACCAGACAGGAACCCCAACCAGATGAGCTAGTTCTACTTCATTGTTGGGCTACATTAACAGAATCTTGCAAGTCTGAAAGTACAAATCTCCCGCCATCCCCTTTTACCGCCTGATCAGTTAGGGTGGGTCCTTTCTAAGTTTTTTCCTCTGCCCATTACTCAGTTGTGGGCTCCTCCCCCTTTTATCTGATCATTCCCCAGGCAGCATCTCTTAGCCCTGTTTTCCAAGGTCATTCTCACATTCCATTATACTATGAGAATTGACATACATTTCAAGCATGTCAGGTTGCCTAGCCCTGGCTTACTCTATGAGCATATCCTTAACCCTTCACCTGATAATGGGGTCATTGTCACCAAGAATGACAGCTGTACATCTACCTCCCTACTCCACCTTTATACAGTCTACTGATCTCTAGATCATCACAATGTCATGCTATTCCCTTTTTCTCCATAGTAGCTAGGGAAACTGTAACATCACAATGGAAATAAGCTGCTAGTTTAGCAGTGGATGTGTATTTATTTCTGTTTGTCACATTTATGCTCTCCCCTATTTAGCACTAAAGCAGAGAGAGACCTATACATACAAACATCTGACGCTGATTTTGACTCAGTCAAGCCGTTGGTCCTTCTGACCTAATACACAGCCTGCATGAGAGAGACTCTCCAAAGCTTTGGAGAGAGGCTTTTCCCAGTCTTTCTGTCCAAGCCCATGCCTGTTGGAGATGCCAGGGACTGAACTGGACCTTCTGCATACCAAAAACATGCACTCTGTGCTCTAGTTCTACCTGTGGCTTTTAAAGAAAATAAAAATGTCATGCCCTTAAGGAGTCAGATGTAAATAATGCAAATTCAACCAGTTGCTGTATATACCTCTGTTTTTTGGGGGGGGGTGGGGGGTAGGGAGTAAGTTCACAACACTTGGCTTGGAAGGAAGGACACCAAAGCTCCTGGATTCTATCTGAAGTCCTGATGAGAAGGAAGGGAAGGTTCCTAGAAAAAACAAGAAGGAGGGAAATGAAGGGGAGCCATCTGCCCCTGTAACCAGCCTCTGTCTCTTTGTAGGACTATCCTTCTATAGGGCACTTGGCCGAAGTGTTGTCCAAATCCAACATCCAGCCCATATTTGCTGTGACTGGCTCCAGGCTCTCTCTCTATAAGGTGACTGCTGAGTTGAAGAGTGGGGAGAGGAGATTTGGGCTATTGGGGAGGGGGCACATATCTCCCTCTCACATTTTCCTTTCCTCTCTAGGAGCTGAGCAAGCTTATTCCAAAGTCCGTGGTGGGGGAACTGAAGTCGGACTCCAGAAATGTGGTGCAGCTCATAGAGGATGCCTATAAAGTGAGGACACAGGGTAGCCCGGCTCATCTGAAATTAATCCTGATCACTTCCTAGGGGAGAGACCACTTATCCAATGCCAGCATCTACTTGAGCATTTCTCAGAAAATGGTTTGATAATAAGGGGCCCAATGTCCTTATTGTTATATAATAATAATATAATTATATAGTATAATAATTATTATTAGGGAATAAAAAATAAGCAGACTTTGTAAAGCTGTCGAAGATGGGAGATAATCTAGAAAGTGCTCTGAACCCCTTGCATGGACTGTGTATCAGAGAAAGCTTCCTCATACAGCTCTTCCAGCCTAGGGCAAATGTTCAGAGTTTGATTTGGATATTCTTGGATCCAATGGTGAGTGAAGTTGAGGAGGGTCCTGCCCGGAAGTTAGCAATACTGCCTTGTATTCAAACACTCCCCAAGTGCAAGAGAAGACAAGGAACCATATGCAGGCAAGTGAGTGAACAGGCAGAGAGTGGATGGCATGCTTTGCTCCACCTCTGTGTTGATGCAAACCAAGTAAACTACTGGAAGAAAAATGTTCCCACCTCCATGCACAGCACAGGAATATGGCCAGGGCAGAGTTCTCTCCTCTTTTTCAGCCATTCCATACAAATAAGATCTAGGATGGTGTAGTGGTTAAGGTGTTGGACTGGCACTGAGGAGATTCACCGTCAGCCATGGGAACTCATGGAGTGATTTTGTGCCAGTCATCCTCTCCCAGCCCCACCTACCTCAGAGGGTATTTTTTGTGGGGAAAACTGGGATGAAGAATACTATGGATGCTATGTTGAGCTCCTGCAAGACAGAGGGGATACAAATAAATAGGCTATTTTTGGGGTATGCTGTTTTTGTTTTGGTGACCTGATTAATTGACTTATAATAATTTTATCCCATATTGTTCTGACAAAGGTATATACATTATCCCAGTCATCTTTACTGTCAAGTAGTCAATATGATGCTCCTATGATAGAAAGAAGTTGTGGCTTTCTTAAAACAAATAATTGAACTGAGTTTTGAAGCATAGACTCTCCTCAGTCATTGTGTCTGCTAGCAAGAGCATGAGTGAGCACTCCTCTTTTCTGCCTTGCTTTTAGCGTTGTACCATCCGAGTCATAAGTCCACTCCTGACACATTCCACCTGTCTGTCTTTCCACAGAGCCTTGCCTCCACAGTGAAACTGGGACATTTCTCAGAGCTTCCTCCTGGGATCTCCATTGCTTATGATTCCCATTGTGGGAACTCAGAAACCTATGGACAGACGAAGGGTGGAGAGTGCAGTGATGTGTCTGTCAACCAGCTGGTGAGCATTTAGGTTAAGAACTTCTGCTGGCTCCACGCATGTCTCAGGAGGGGCTCTCAAAGAGATTGCTGGGTTATAGCTCCAACAGCCTAATTAGCATGGATAGAGGGGTGCTGGGAGTTGGAGTCTGGCAACATCTGGATTGTCACAGATTATCACTCATGGAGGATACTGATGGTGTCCCTCACATTCACCTGTCTTCCCAAGGTGCAATTCACAGTGAAGATAATGGCAACCACCTGCTTACCTGAGTCCCAGAAGCTGGTGCTGCGAGTACTGGGAGTGGGGGAGGAAGTCCAAGTAGAGCTGTCAACAGCCTGTGAGTGCCAATGTGGAGACACCCAACCTGATGCACACTATTGCTCTGGTGGACATGGCAACCTCACCTGTGGCATCTGCCGGTATTTATTTGACTTATTTCACTGTGTTTTTTAAAAGCTGCCTTGCTGGGTAATAATAATCAAAGATCTTGTCAAGCTAGGCAGAATCAGACCAGATTATTACTTGGATGAGAGACTACCAGGAAATCCCAGAGTTATAGATGGTGTTACCTAGTTGGGTGATGAAATGTCCATTTAAAACAGTGTTGGGGAGCCTGGGGACTCAACAAAACAAAAGAAAACACACTATTCTGAAAGAGGGCAATAGCAAAATCCTTCTGGTTGCCATTGATGTGTCCAACAAGCCTCCAGGAGTCAAGCCTGACTTGAAGGAGGCTTTACTTCATTCCAAAGTGTGGCTAATGGTCTGATAGTAAAATTAAAAAGTGTATAATAGGAATGTATCGGTGCTATAATGGATGCTAAATAATGCTTCTGAAAAGGCTGCCAAGAAAATTGCATGGACTTGTCCAGGCAGTCACCAGGAGTCAAGACTGACTCAAAGGCCCACTACCACCCCAAATCTAGAACTCTCTCCAAAGGTCTTGACTTCTCAGTTTCCCTGGGCATAGGTTGGAGCTGGGCTCCCCGTGACAGGCCCATAGCCGGGTCTCAGACCAGGTACCATTCATTTCTCTCTGACATCCATTATACTACTGTAATCTCCTTCCAGGATTTATTTTAAGTTCTTGTTTTAATTTCTATACAAGCCATCACTCCTCATCAACCCACAATGTTGCGTAAGATTGGGTGAGAAGAGAAGAAAATGTGAATGAACAGAGGAAGAAGTAGACCATAGGGAGCATGGCAGGGAAAATAAGAGAAAAAGGAAAACCAGATAAAAGGTGACACATAATAGCTAAGAATGTAGGACTAGATGTCACTCCTCCTTTAACAAGGAAGATATCCTTTAACTATGATTCTCTTCCCATCATCACGAAAGCCAACTGATGATCTGAATATCATCCTCCCCTTCAAAATATAACTGTAATGATTGAACTCTGCAATCTAGTTACCACAATAACCACCAAGCTATCAACCCCAGAAAATATGTTGAAAATTTCACTTATATTTATTGTTGCAGAACAATAGATGCTCAAAAACCTGTTTCTTCCTTTGCCTGGTATAACGGCCAGGTCAGAAAACTTGTGATACCAGTGTAATATTGATTTCACTGTCTGTTCTTGTGCCTTCATGAAGTGTAGTCTTCCTGATGTAAATCTTCAAGGATTGGTACTCCAAGACAGGTGAAGACAAGTAAGAAGAAAGCTCCAGGAACTGAAAGAATTTAGCTTAATATAGCAGAGGCCAGTTCAATGCCAAAATTGCTGCTACAAATAAGGGAAGAAAAGGTTGAAGAAAGAAGGGCAAACAGCCTGCATAAAAAGAAGACTCTCCTAAAAAAGAAATCTATGTATGATTGCTGGAGCCTTTTCATCTACCTTGTTCAGGTGTTCCTTCCTGCTCCTCTTTGGCTAGTTGATCTTGTCTCATCTGGTTTCTCCAAGAGAAGTTGCCAGTTTCTTCAGAATCCTGGACCAGATCCAGCAGTTCAAACTGGACTTGTAGTGTCTTCCTGGAAGACCCGATTATAGAACATCTCTGAGAAGAGTAAAGAAGTGAAACCCTCATTCCCAAGTGGCTGTTCCTATTCAGAAGAAGCACTTAACCTACCAGAACAAGCAATATTCCTTCCAGCAGTTTCTGTTGGGGTTTTTTGCCTAAGCCTTCTTTTTGACCAAACCCAATCAGTACAATCAAAATTACAAGAGTGCAGAAAGTTTCTAAGTGATCATTTAGAGCAACTCCAAATCTCACATTTATCTTCTCACTGAAAAACTCAGTGAAGTAAAAGGAGTATTTGGATCACATCTAGAAACAACATTATATGGTAATATTATATATAATCCTGATACCCATAAATCTTGCCAGATTCCCTATTTATTTTTCTATAGTAAAAGATGACAGGTACATATATATTTAAACATTTGATCTGAAATGTTTTAAAAAAGGATAGTTTCCCTTGGGAAAATCTGGAGGGGGCTCACACCCCATTACCTCTGGAATGTTATTCCATTCCCAAGTATCTTTTTTTCCTAAACTGATTTAAGAAGGCTCAAATGTATGTCCTCAGAAGCCACCCATGCTAAATTCTTTGCTGTTTGTGATTGCCCTTGAAGGTGGATAGGTGCCTAATTGTGCCACATGAAGAAGAGTTGGGAGTAAAGATAACAGAACCGGGAAACAAACAAAGCAGGGAGCCCAGTGGGGTGTTAGCAGAGATCAAGCATTCATCTGTAACAAGCAGCTGCATTCAGAGATGTCTTCCAGTTTAAAAGGAAAAGAGTTTTATTTAGTTCAGCATCAGTTCAGAACTTACACAGATCATTTCATGAGAAAGTTTTGAAAAAGGGTTGAAAGACAACAATTGAATTACAAGATCTATGTGTCACAAAAGTAGCAGAGTTCCCCTTTCCTTTTCTCCCCTCTCCTGCCAATACCTAGACTAAGGATTAACCCCAGCTCGGTGGTGATTGAATGGTTGTAGCTATTCTAGCATGGAAAGGTAGGAAGTTGGTGAGGATGAAACCATGTAAGCCAACAGTTGGCTTAGCAGTGCTCTTTGGCTCATGCACACACCCCCTTGTCTGTTCTAGATGTCATGAAGGTTATGTTGGCCGGCACTGTGATTGCAGGAAAGAGGAACTCCTTGATTCAGGAGCTGTGGCCCTAGCAAGTGGGCCCTTCTGCAACTGTGACAATGTTGCCTGTGAACGACACAACGGGCAGCTTTGTGCAGGTAAACATATGAAGCTTCTCTAAGATTAAAGGTACTATTACACTCCAATAGAAGAGAATATCTGTAGCTCAGGGATGAACTGTGGAGCCCTTGGTGCTGAGTTTGGTTGTTTCCTTGCAGACATTTCATCACCCAGCCAGGTAACATCACTGATGGTGTTACCTAGTTGGGTGATGAAATGTCTGCAAGCAAACAGTCAAGCTCAGAGAGCGCCAAGGACTCCACTATTACTCTCATGAGCCATTAGCTGGAGAAATATAAAATGCATAACCCGCTATCATTATGAATGTTTTCTTTATATTAATGTATTGAAAATGTTATGGTATATTGAGCACAAAATTCTACTGCTAAGCACTCAGTTTCCATTTAAAATAGTGTTGTCCAAACTTGGCCACTTTAAGATGAGTGGACTTCAATTCCCAGAATTCCCCAGCCAGCCATGCTGGCTGGGGAATTCTGGGAGTTGAAGTCCACTCATCTTAAAGTGGCCAAGTTTGGACAACACTGATTTAAAAGAACCATATTTCTAGCTCTCCACCGCATGGTTATGCTTGAAAGTATACAGGCAATGCCAGTGGAAATCTGTAAAGCCAGTAGCTTGGAGAGGAGGGAGGATTTGTGGGTGGGATGGTACTAGGAAATGTGGGGGACAAATAATATTCTATCCTTACAGCCTTGATGCTGACGTGCATATTAGGTAGAGCAGGCAAGTTAAAACTGCCTGATGACCCTGGGGGTGAATGGTGGGGGTAAGGAGACAGATAACAGAAACCAGGTTGCTGTCTTTTCTGTGGTGTAAAGGAATATATGGGTACAATAAAAGGACATTGCTTATGTTGTTAACATCAGTAGAAGAGACAGGCTTGGAGTCTCCTTAAAAGAGCAGAATGAAGAGGCACCAGATCAGTCCATCGAAAGGTCACCCCGTGTTGTAATCAGATCCTGCATTCCTGTAGCAAAGATCATTTTATAATTTACCCTGCTTTTCTGAGTCCTATGTATAACCAGTAACCTTGTGGGCTCATTTGTGATCATTGTACAGATAGGTCTCAATTAGTGATGGTAACGAATCCCACGGAGTGGTCACGTTATTCAAATTTGCACTTTCTGAAGTGATATTTCTATGGAAAATAGGATAATTGGTTCCGACTTGATGGAAATAGGCAATGAAATTTTTAAACATAATTTTTTATATATTAATTAATGAAATATAACAGGAAAAGATTAAAAGAACACACTTACAGCTTAAATTTATTTTTAAGAAAGTCATGGAGAAGTTATAGAAAGCAAAATTTAAAAAATTCTAGATAGATAGATTTCATAAATATTTCACATAAATAAATCAAGTGAACAAAGGACGCGCTGGAGGATAATCCCGTGTCCGAAGCGCACCTGCTATCTCCTGTATTCTGCTCTAGTTCTTCAAAATGAACCTCTTGTTTTTAATCTGTCCTCAAGCGGAACCTTCCTTTTCTCGATTTTGCACACACGACAATTAGCGTCTAAAACCCCAGTGGCAACTGTGTATGCACTAGCCTCACATTAACTGAATTTTGGCTTCCATTAAACGCGACCCGGTATCAATTTATAATTCACACTAAATTGAATATCACGCTATTCAAACTTGCACTAATCGGAACCTACCTGTAGTTGTGCAAGCCAATAAAAGATACTTTGTTGCATCTATCTCCAAATGCTTTGGTTTCTTATTTAAGTGGGCACTTTTCCCACAACAGAAAGACCTCCACCATACTGACTGCTTGTCTCCTCCTGCCAACAGGTAACGGGCAGTGCAGATGTGGCCGTTGCCAATGCCATGCCAACTACACCGGCAGCGCATGTGAGTGCAGCCTGGATACCAGTGGATGCACCCAGGAGGGCAAGATATGCAGTGGGCATGGACATTGTGTCTGCAACCGATGCCAGTGTGACGTCGGGTGGCTGGGCAGCCACTGTGCTACCCGCCAGCTGCCCTGTGAAGAGCACAGGTGAGGCTGAGGGGAGGGAGTCAACCGATGGAGGAGGGAGGCTGGCGCAGGGTCCTCTCGTGGCTCCTTTAAGCAGGAGGGCTTCGTCCAGCAACAGACACGGTCAGTCACCCTCCGAATGAGAGTTGAAGAAAGAACCATTACCTGGTTTACACTGTTGGACGCTGACTCAAACCAGTTGCAGTCTGTTCACTGAGTGGTATAGGAAGAAGAGCTAAAAAGAGCTTACTGTAGAAATTACTGCAGGGATTCTGCCCTTCAGGGGAAGGGAGAAGAGGAGGTGAAGGAAAAGAAATCGGGAATCATTCTCAATTCTGTTCCTGCGATTCAGTCATTAGTCACCTCTGTAACCCAAGGGACAAGAGTAAGCTGCTTCTCTGAGTTCTTGAAAGCTCATGTTTGTGTGGACAGTAATGCCACAGGCCTGGGCAGCTTGTGACCTCCCAAGCTGTAATTGGCACACCTAGGGCAACCCAATAACGGTCTTGCTTTCAGGTGCCTTTCTGGTGGTGCAAGAAAAATGAAGTGGTTGTACACCTGGCAGGGAACCTGTACTGTCTTTTCTGGTGCGATTGCAAACACGGGAGGCTGCTCTGCCTGTTTGCATCCACAGCAACTAGCGTGGTGAAGCCATTCAGATGTTGGAGCAGGGAGACCAAGGTTTAAGTCCACCCGCAGCCATGGAAACTACCTGGGTGGTTTTGGACAGCCATGCCCTCTCCACCCAGTTTGGGTTGCTGGAGGAGAAAGGGGTTGCTTTGAATGCGTCATTTTGCCTCTGGAGGAGAATTAGGGCATAAATCGTACAAAGAGAGGGTTGGTGTCTTCGAGTCAGGCTTGACTCCTGGCAACTGCCTAGACTAGTCCCTGCAGGTTTGCCCTTGCCTAGGGCTGCGAGGGAGAGACTGGCCCAAGGCCACCCAGCTGGCTTTGTGCCTCAGGCAGGACTAGAACTCCCGATCTCCTGGTTTCTAACCTGGTGCCTTCACCACGACACCAAACTGGCTCTCGCACAAAGAAAGTGGCAAACTAAAATAGTAAGGATAGATTTCACGTTGGATCCAAGCCAAGGGATGAGCTACAAGAGATAGCTTTTCTTGGGGAAGAGCTCAACTGTGTGATATGAACCAATCAGCCTTCTAGAGGTTCGCTTGCTTTTCCCTTCACCCTCCACTGGCACACCGTCGCTGCAACATGAATCAAATCAAGCTGTTGCCTAACATGGAAAGAGTGTCCAGGGGAAAAAACAATCACCTCTTTCAATTTCTGCCAGGCCAGTAAACACACTGGCAAATGATATTGCACTTTTCAGTTGTTTATCAATACTGCACAGGAGCACCGGGTACTCTCAATGCGAGTTTCCTTGAGCAAGTTGGCATCCTGAGAAACTTTAGCTGGAATGCAGGTGGGCATCAGTGAAACAGATGGAGCAGGATCTTGGCACAGCTTAAGACAGGGCTGCAAAAGCTGAGATGCTGGGATTGTCTGTATCTACTGAACTGTGCGGTCCCTAGAGCATCACCCAAGGCTGCCATCACATTTTAAGTGACAGAAGGGGACAGTGGCAACTAAATTGAGAGTAAACACACTAACTCTATTTAACTCATTTAATTGAAGTAAATGTAAATTAAATCACATTTTTGACCCATCCCTGCCCGCTTCTTGAATTGTAAAACTCAGTGTAGTACTCAAAGACCAAGGACCGTCTTGAGTCTGAAAAAGTAGCCTTAAAGATAAAGGCATTTATGACTGGGGCAAAAGCTTTTGTTCACATGAATTTTAGATTCCTAGCCAGCACACTGACAACACTCAGAGTTGCAGTCCTAGCACTTTTAGAAGATGCCAGCTTGAGGAAGACTGCATTGGGCTTCACTGCCTTACTCTGACACCGTAGCAGCATACATTTCTCTTTGATTATTTTAGTAACTCTCACCCCCATTTAATAAGTACGTTGGAGCATTAGAGCTTCACTACAGAAGGACATTTTTCTGTATGATCATATTGTATTGGGCTGGAGTGAAGCCAAACTCCAGTTATGTGAAAAAAACGTGCCCCTTTTAGGTTTGTTCGTATGCTTGTTTATCATCAGACTTATGGGTGGCCTCAGTCATAGTTGGCAACTTGAGGCATGTAACCTAATTAAAAACCACCTTCAGAACATTGGTCCATCTTTGACCCTGAATGTTATCAGGCAGGTTCTACTGATATAGAAAAGGGATCTGGGTGAACAAATTAAGCAAAGTTTGCCGCTTGTTTTATTTATTTCATAAACAAAATCAGTCAATGTGCCATGAGCCAATGGGAAAAAAAATGACCTCCCCCCACGCCCCGCACTATCACCAACTGGTTGTACCACATTTAGCCCAGGTGATCCCAGTTCTCCATGGGTGCTAGCAGTTTTGGGGGGGTGTAGCCACCCTTCACGGCAAGCAAGAGTAACTAAAAGCCCCCCGTCAAAAAAGCTGTACCATCTGTTGGCAGGGATTGTGCTGAGTGCAAGGCTTTTGGGACAGGACCGCTGAGTCGGACCTGCAACAGCTCCTGCAGCCAAGTGGTGAGGGTGCTGGTGGCCCCTGTGGACGAGAGATGGTGCCAGATGAAGGCAGGAGACGGACGCCTCCTCATCTACCTCATTGAGAGGGACAAGACAGGCAGCGTCCTCCTCACGGTGGATGACCAAAAAAGTGAGTTGCCGGGGGAAGAAGTGTGAGTGGGGGCTGTTGTTCTTCTGTCCTGCTGGGGGCTGCCCAGAGACAGCAGATGAGGTGCTGGGCCTCTGGTGGGACCCAGACCTGGGGATCTGGTTACATAGCAGGCAGCCTGTTATGTTATAGCAGGCCAGGGAAGTCTCTGTGCCTCTCTGTAAGGAACTCCAGCAGAATCAAATCTCTAAACCAATTGCTTGCTAACCACGTTTTGCTGAATAAACCACAACTCAGTGGGTTTTCCCATTGCACCAAGACACAAATAAGCAACTCACATTATGTCTTAGTATGATACGCATACCTAGTCTATATGCTTCCATACGGCATTCACCCCATGATAGGCCATTGCTGTGATCCTGTAAGGCTCAGTCTATGCAAAAAAGCATCTTGTTTGCATATTTATTGGCTCTAGATGGCAGCTTGCATGTCCAAATTCCCTCAGTGTTCACCTTGCTATCTTTGACCTAGAAAGAGTTGTTATCCCTCCCCTACTGCAAATCATTGTGAGTTAGATGTAAACACTTGCTAGCGACGATACACGCGGACGAACGAGGACAATGGCTGGGTTCACACATTGCACAATGCCTTCTGTTCTATTTTGGTTAACTCTGGCAAATCTTCAGTCCACTGGCGATCACAGTTAAGCAAATCACATTTAGTGCAATAGGTGAACCCAGCACATAGTGCCCACTGCCAAAATGAAAACTCAGCCTCTTCAATGGGCACCCCTGAGTTCTTCTATTCTGTACAGCAGAGTTTCTCAGCTTTGGCAACTTTTAAGGCATGTGGACTTCAGCTCCCGGAATTCCCCGGCCAGCCTTGCTGTACAGGATCACATTCACTGATAATGCTATAGAAC